ACTGGTCGGATGTGTTCATAAGGCAGTAGGTAGTCTCAATGACTTTTACTACTGATTCAAGTCCAGTAGCACCTTAGAGAATAAATAAATAAATCTTTCAATTTATTAATCGCTCAATCCTGCAGAGCTTGCTGGCTCTGAGCGATTTACAGTTACTCCATTACACACGGGACTAACAATGATTCAAGGGGTAAGGGAGGACAACATATAATCTTTAAATCACACACGTTCACAGCCGACGGGGAGTTTTGTTCAGCTGTAAGGTCAGACGTGTTCCAGCGGCATTTTTCCCTCGGCGTGTCTTGATGTCGTCAGCTTTCTCCGGTCTGCTTCAAATTGCAGCGCAGAACTGCCACTGCCTGGCCGGACAGCCCATTACAGGCTTCCTTAATGCCGAAGAGTTCTTTCTAGGCTTTTCGGTCTTACGCGCTGGACATTCCATTCGTCGGCTAACACCTCCCCCACCGGAGGAAGAAGAGTTTCAGGGTATAAGCTTTTGAGAGCTTCTGCCTAACTGAATTTGTTTTAGTTCGTTGGATCTGTAAAATTCGACCAACGAATCTGATTGTCCCTGGTCTATAATTGTTGTAGGCTGGGGTTGTTGCCCTTTACAGGTGTGGGTGTGGGGAGAATGGGATGAGTGAGACCAACATTGAGAGCGCCAGCATCAGACTGGTCATCCCAGGTATTGGGGCAGGGGGGAGGTATGGTGGGGGGGAGAAGGTGTTGGAGTGGAAGGAGACAGAGATATGGTTATGCTCTGTCCCCTTCCAGCCTTCATCCCATCCCAAGATATGTGGGTGTGAGGGCTCGGAATATATCCCCCTCGTCAGTACTGCTGTTGTGCAACGCCAGGTCCATTGATAATAAGACCTCTATGCTGCGAGACTATATCACAGCATAAGAAGTGGGCCTGGACAGGGCAAGGTGAAACTGTTGCCTTGGAAGAGCTGTCCCTTCCAGGTTTCTCGGTCCTTCATCAGTCACGAACAGTGGTGTGGAGGGTGGGGTGGCGATACTCATCCGTGAGAGTTTCCCCTCAGAGTGCTCCCCATCCTGAAGATCACCGGCATTCAGGGCTATTTTTGGGCACAGGAACGCACAGGAATAGAGTTCTGGCTGGCTCCTGAGTTGGCCACGCCCACCAGGAACTCATTAGCATAATAGGCCACACCCAACAGCAGAAACTCATTAGGATTGGCTACATGAGGGATGTGTGGCCTAACATACAAAGGAGTTCCTGCTACAAAAAAGGGTCCTGGGTTTTGACAACAAACAAGGTAAACAGAATAAGAAGCAAAAGGTGGGTGTGGCTGGATGAGCACACTTCTGGCAACATGGAGGTGTGGCCTAATATGGTAATGAGATGTGATGCCAGGGTGTGGCCTAATATGCTAATGAGTTTCTGCTGCTGGGTGTGGCCTATTATGCTAATGAGTTCCTGCTGGGCTTTTTCTACAAAAAAAGCCCTGCTGGCATTGATTGCATAGGCCTGGTCTGGGACTCTGAGGTGAGTTTGGCTGTTTGTCTGGTGTCCCGTGTGTCTAGCGCTCCAGCAGACAGCCTTCTGTGCCTGCCTGAGGTGGCAGTGGGCTGGGCCTCGGAGTTCCTGAGGCTTATAATCCTTGGGGACTTCAGATCCATGCTGGTGACGCCTCCTCAGGCTGCAGGCTGCAGACCTGGTGTCATCCATGGCAGCGCTAGGACTCACCCAGATTGTATCAAGTCCCACACGCCAAGCAGGCTACACGCTGTGTTTGATCTTTGGCATGGGAGTTGACATGGATCTGATGGCCAAGTTGTTGGTGCTGTGGGCAGATCATTGCAACCTGCCGGTCTGGCTGGGGATCCCTGCCCCCCCCCCCATCTAGGCTGCAAGCAGATTTATGCTCACCCGTAGAGACTAAGGGACCCAATTGGGTTCTAGAATACTCTGTGGGAACCAATGCCCTTCGGTGATTCCTTAGATGAACTGACAGGGGACTGGAATTCCTGCCTTTGAAGCCATCGATGAAATCACCCCCCAACATCCTTTCCATCCCAAGCAGAAATCATCCCCCAGTATACGATGGAACTTGGGGGGATGAAATGGGAACTCAGATGACTGGAGTGAGTTTGGCAGCGAGTTCATGAAAAAGCTACAAGAGCGCCTTATAGGATGCGTATGAAATCCTATGAGGTCGCAGTGAAGGCCACTAAGAAGGATTTTTTGTGGCCTCCATTATGTCTGCTAGCTCTCGCCCAGCTCAATTATTTAGGACAATTTGGTCTCTTACGTCCCTCTCTGAAAGGACCCAGAATACTAATAATTCGGCAATAAGCTGTGTGGCATTTGCAAGCTTTTTTGCATACAAAGCCCTCTCGCTCCACTATGGCCTCCCAGCCAGTGTTGATAAAGTATATGAACTGGAGGCCCCTTGGCCACCTTTAGATTCAGTTTTTGATCATTTCAACCGGCTCTTTTGAGCTGATGTCAACAGGATTTTGGGTGCTGTTTGGCCGACCACCTGGTCCAGAATGCAGCTCGCATGGGTCCTTACAGGGACCCCCCCAGATGGCACACATCCGGCCTGTGCTGCACGAGCTGCACTGGTTTCCATTGGAGCACCAGATCACGTTCAAGATTCTGGTTCTGACCTTTAAGGCCCTTAGGGGTCAGGGACCCACATACCTTCGGGACCACCTCTCTCAGTATGCCCCCAATAGAGTGTTACACTTTTACAGTGTTACACTGAAGACAGGCGTGCTGGCGATCCCACGGCCGCGCTTGCTGCGGCGTTTCAGGTTGGTGCTAGCAGTTCCTAGGGGTTTTTTTAATGCGCGTTTTTGGCCTGAAGGGACGGATCGGGGACAGGTGCGCTCTGCTTCCCAGATGTTGTGGTGTGATCGCGCCCGTTTGCTGCGCCCCCGATCCGTCCCTCTTGCGGGCCAAAACCTCCCGTGTGAACGGGGCCTTACTGTCTCATTCTGTTGTAAGTCCAAATAAATAAATAAATAGCCATGTTGCCTTGGTGCAGATGGCTGATAAGTGTTATTTATCCTTTTATTTCCCAGGCAATCTTATGTAAAAAAGAATGACAGTGGAGCCCTGTATTAGAAGCGTCTAAAACAAAGCCTTCCCATAGAAGCGGAGTACAGATTAATAGAATATTCATAGGAGAAATGCGTTGGCCCAGGAATGGGAACAATTCGAAATAGTTCTATAGAGAGTTTTAAAAGAGAAAAAATGATACTTTCATAGATGTGGCATTTTAAATACGCTGCAGTGTCCATAATTTGGTATTTGAAGAGGAGGCCGGCATAGTTGTTTCCTTGCCACATTACTTCCTCCATTGCAGGTTACATGGTGGCGTTTTTAGACTCTTGGGGCTTGTAAGTGGGCCAAATCAGTGCACCTGGCGTGGCTTACGGGGCTGTCTTCTAATAAGCTAAGTCTTGGATGACCAGATAGCAGACTGGATCTGAATGACCAGGGGTCATTTCCTGCAGGAGCACACAGGAGCGGAGCTCCGGCAGTAAAGAGCCCAGAGGGCAGGCACATGCCACAAGCCCCCCCCCTGCTCCCAGCATCCCTTAGTCAGAACAAGAAGCAGCCAGGTAAGTTGCAGAGCTCCCCCGGCCCAAAACCGTCCAGTGGCACCTTTAAGACCAAGTTTTATTCAGGTACAAGCTCTCCCTCCTCTGCGAGGACAGATCTGCACGTTCCCCCTCCCTCAATAGCTAGCAATCCCAAACAGTCCAGTGGCACCTTTAAGACCAAGTTTTATTCAGGTACAAGCTCTCCCTCCTCTGCGAGGACAGATCTGCACGTTCCCCTTCCCCCAGTAGCTAGCAATCCAAAACAGTCCAGTGGCACCTTTAAGACCAAGTTTTATTCAGGTACAAGCTCTCCCTCCTCTGTGAGGGCAGATCTGCACGTTCCCCCTCCCAAAATAGCTAGCAATCCAAAACAGTCCAGTGGCACCTTTAAGACCAAGTTTTATTCAGGAACAAGCTCTCCCTTTCTCTGCGAGGACAGATCTGCACGTTCCCCCTCCCTCAATAGCTAGCAATCCCAAACAGTCCAGTGGCACCTTTAAGACCAAGTTTTATTCAGGTACAAGCTCTCCCTCCTCTGTGAGGACAGATCTGCACGTTCCCCCTCCCCCAATAGCTAGCAATCCGAAACAGTCCAGTGGCACCTTTAAGACCAAGTTTTATTCAGGAACAAGCTCTCCCTCCTCTGTGAGGGCAGATCTGCACGTTCCCCCTCCCCCCAATAGCTAGCAATCCAAAGCAGTCCAGCGGAGCCTGAGCGGTGGGTGTTGCCTTCTGACACACTTCCGGTGATGTCAGGGGGTGTGGCATATGCAAATGAGTTATGGTAATGAGTTATGCTAATGAGCTCCTGCACCTCTTTTTCTACAAAAGGACCCCTGTGAATGATAAATGATACCCAAGAAGTGGGTCTTTCCTGGACTTGGTCAGAGATGGCCACCTGGAGAATGTCTGGCCGCGGTGGGTTTGTGCAGCAGCTGTTCAGAACCTGTGAATCCCCTACTGAGTGGTAATCAAGAGAGGGAACAAAGTCTTGCCGACAGTTTGAGCCCATAGGAGACTGTGTGAATGATGTGCCTAAGAAAGTTAAAAAGCAATAGTATAAGGGATTCGTCATGTTTTATGTTTCTATCTTGCTCATTTTGTTTATTTTTATGCAGTATATGTGTTTATCTTTCTTCGTTTTCTTTATTTTTGCCTACGGGCAGTAGCCCCAGAGAGGTGGAACAAACTCTCAAAAGGCTGCAGTGTTAACAGAGTCCTTCCTTCCTGTTTTTTAAGGGCTCGTGATCTCTAACCCTGGAATGTCTGGTAGCCCTAGGCGGCCGCTCGTAGGGGAAGATGCACTTCCAACCCTTTGAACGACATTAAGAGGGCAGAATACAGTACCGGATACAATACAGGGCAGGATGCAATACAGAAACTGACCGTCTTTCTCTTTGCATTCCGTAGGTCCTTCCCACCTCTGAAGACAAGGAGGATTTCTGGCTAAGGGAGATGTGACCGGTATGGACATGGACAAGATGAAGGACAACACTGTGATCGCCCTGATGGTTGCAGGGCTGGGGGTGTTATGCTGGGGGACGGTAGCCCCGGACGACCCTCAGTGCCAGCAGGTGGAGCACCCTGTGGTTACCAGTGGAGGTAAGCCAGCGGGAAGGTGGCCTAGAAGTGGGAAGTTGTGCTAAGGCAAGTAGGACTGAGTGCCTGCCCAGTTTTCTAACAGACCTTTATCCCTCTTCTAGAACTTTAGGTGGGGAAATACCTGGAAATGGGGGGGAGGGGTTTTGAGCTGGAGGAGGGTGGGATTTAGGGAGGCGAGGGACCTCCACAGGGTACCATGCCGTAGGATCCACCCTCCCAAGCAGCCATCTTCTCCAGGGGAACGGATCTCGGTCGTCCGGAGATCAGTTGTAATAGCAGGAGATCTCCAGGTGCCTCCTGGGGGTTGACAACCCTATAGGCTGACTTCCCGCTGGAATGACTGGAAGCCTCTGCTCCTTATGGCTGGCCGTGTATTCCATTCCCCTGAGGCAGCCAGCCAGAGCAGGAGAGGTCAGCCTGGAGGAGCAGCGAATAGAATGAAACTGGAATTGCCGCTGGAGCAGTATAAATTGGCACTGTTGAACGGCCGTTATCTATAGAGGTGGCATTGTTAAAATAAAAATGCTGTGCTGTACAGAAATGGAGGTACGGCGTTTGGGACAAAAGGTTCATTTCTGTGCATCCTAACGGGTTTTTTTAGCCATCCCAGTACTAGCGACAGTAATGCAAACTTAGGCCCCTGCCACACCGGGGAAGGGGTGGGGGAAAGCACGGGCAAAGTGCGGCTTTTGAAAGCCGCACCAAAAGAGACACACGGCGGCGGGATCACATAGATCCCCGAGCCGCCACGCAGTTCCTCCCCGGCACGATCAGATGCCGTGCCACTGAAGGCAACATCAAGTGCAGCTACTTTGTGGAGGGGCAGTCTGGACAGATTCAACATCACAATAATCCAAGTCTGTGCCCCAACCATTGACACAGAAGAGGCTGAAGTGGACCAGTTCTATGAAGACCCACAACACCTCTGAGAACTAACACCAAAAAAGATGTCCTCATCATCATAGGGGACTGGAATGCTAAAGTAGGAAGTCAAAAGGTAACTGGAATCGACTTCCGGTTGATGGCGGCACGCTCACGGACTCACCTCCCGGACCTCCCGGGGGTGTCTCCGTGCTCCGGCAGAGGGAGGGGGTGAGCAGGCTCATTAACCCCCCCTGGGGCCCGGCGAAGGGACCCTGGCCAAGGAGCTTTGAGGGGGTAGCCTCTTCAATGGCTGAATGCCAGAGAATCGAGGCTCCCCCTTGCTCCAGTGGTTCATCCAGCCGAGAGACTGAATGGTACAAGTGAAGCTAACCGGGACAAGCGCAGGAGATCGGGCATGAGAAATGACGAATGTAGCGGGGTCGGAAGACCAATTATGAACGTGAGTCAACTGAGAAACGATTTTTAAAAGAAAAGACGCTCCCTACCCTACGTGGCGGAACGACAGAAGCGAGCGGGGGAGGGACGCCTCCCATGCGCTTAAATCGCTGAGTGAAAGGGGGGGAGCGGAAGAATAAACGTGCGATTGCCCAGAAGTACTCACTCGATGGAGCTATACAGTCAAGCGCATATTCAGAGACTTTAAAAAACATTCGTGAAAGTAAACAAACAGGGAAAAGATGGCGAGGAAGAGGGACAGAGACAAAGAGAAACTTTAAAAACGAAACCAGAGTCCCCGAGGCCGGAAACGAACAGTGAGATGATCAAGGCGATGGCTGAGGTCATGCGCCCTCTACTGAAACAGCTCAATGCCTTTAAAGAGCAGATGTCGGTGGTAACAGCGAATATAACAGCGCAGCAAAATCAGCTTTCAGTTGTAACAACAAGCATCACTGCTCAACAAACGCAAATAACGGACTTGATCCAGGTAATGAAGCAGGATGCGGAGAAAGTAAAGGAAATGGCTGAGACAACGCAGAAAGTGAGGAAGAAAGTGCAAAAATTGGAAAAGAAAACTGTTTCTTTGGAAGATCAGATGCTGCAAGTACAAATGGATAAGGCCAACATGGTCCTGCGCTTCCAAGGGGTGCCAGAGAATAGAGGACTGTTCCCTGGAAGGCCAGATACTGAAGCTGAAGCTCAAATACTTTGGCCACCCAATGAGAAGGGAGCACTCACTGGAGAAGACCTTGGTGCTAGGAAAGATTGAAGGAAAAAGAAGAAGGAGACAGCAAAGGAAGAGATGGTTAGACAGTGTCAGCGACGCAACGAACATGAAATTGAGCAAACTCTGGAGGACAGCAGAAGACAGGAGGGCCTGGCGTGATGTGGTCCATGAGGTCGCGAAGAGTCGGACTCGACTGTGCGACTGAACAACAAAAGTCCAGACAGAATTTGGAACCCTGCTCTCTAACCAAAGTGCGGAGGGGAGGGGGGAGAGGAGGAAGGAGGAGGTAGGAGAAAAAAGGTGGAGTAAAGCAAGCTGAGGAGGGAAGCTGGTTGGAAACGTTTTCACTCTACCAGCGATAGCCTCTTTTTTAGTGTCACGTGCCTATTCCTGTTATTTCATGGGCATTTCACTGTTCAGAAACCATTCTGTGATTTCTTTTTAACTCTGAAGGATGAGAGGTAGAGAGGATATTGTAGGAACTTCCAGTTGCAGGTTATTTATTGTAAAAAAAAAACCCCACAAGAATCAACGAGAAGGAAACAGAGGGTCGCACCAGTTGGAGCAAAGAGATAAAGAAAAAACAATGGTGCAGTGGGAAGAAAATTTTATTCCGATATCAAATCAATTCCTCATTAAGCTTCCTCAGGGAAGCTTTTACATATGTCGCAGATCCGGAAGCCGCAGGTAGTGCAGAATGCGGCGGCCAGGCTGCTGATGGGTCTCCCCAAGCGGGAGCACATCCGGCCTGGGCTGAAGACGCTGCACTGGCTGCCAATAGCATACCGAATCCACTTCAAAGTGCTGGTACTTGCCTTTAAAGCCCTACATGGCCAGGGTCCGACTTACCTGAGGGACCGCCTTTCCCCATATATACCCCCAAGAGCACTTCGGTCCGGGGCACAACATCGCCTGGTGGTTCCAGGCCCCCGGGAGGCAAGGCTCGCCACGACTAGGACCAGATCCTTTTCAGTGGTGGCCCCTACTTGGTGGAACGAGCTCCCGGAGGAGATCAGGGCCCTGCGAGACCTTATGCAGTTCCACAGGGCCTGCAAGACGGAGCTCTTCTGCCAGGCTTTTGTGTTGGGGCCGCCGCTGCCACCGCCACCAATGGTGGCAATACCATTGGGATTAGGAATCACCCTGGAAGCTCAGCCATAAATTGCGTAGCATTGACAACATGGGATTGGCATGAACGATCCACTGGACAGGGGTGCCCCAATGGGGCTGATCTGAAGAGGCCAACATAACCACTCAAGACCATCTTGTTCATAGAAGCACTTTATTATTGTTATTATTGATATTACTTATGCTTTTATTGTCTTATATTGGGTTTTATGCATGGGCTCTTGCCCCTTGTAAGCTGCCCTGAGCCCGCTCGCGGGGAGGGCGGGGTAAAAATGCCCAAATAAATAAATAAATAAAAAGAGAAAAGAAAAAAAGGTTAATAAGCATCTTCTAACTGTTCCTCCTAATTATTTGTTTAAAACCATATTAAAACAATGATAAATACACGTTTGAAAAGATAGAACTTCTGCGCATGTACAGACAACATTTAATTATCAAGAGCGACCAAAACACCGTTGGGAGGGAGGTTAGAATAATGTTACAACAATTATTGCAGGCATAGGATGCTGGAATTGGAAAATGAGTCCAGTCACAAGGCTGGATCCTTAACACTTGAGGTTCCATGTCCTGGTTTTGGAGCGATTTGGATCGGCTGTATAGCTACTTAATCTCCCAGTCCTAAAGGGTTCTTTGTGGTTTCCACTGCTAAGGTCTCTGCTGTTCCTCCACAGGGAATGTCATAATTGCTAGTGTTGTTTCAGGGAACCGGCAGCGACCATATTGGCAATTTTAGTAACTGCAAAAATTAGCAGTGGCACTAAAGAAGAGAGGAGGGGTATGCTATACTGCGTGAATGAGGGGGCGGGGTAAGCGCCTCACGGTAAACAGTGATTACTCAGCGGGGGCCACAGGAAACCAGCAACACCAGCAGGGTGAACAAATAAATAACATCCCAATTTCTCTGCCCTGCAGTATTTTTTTGAGTAACTGGTATACATTCCCTTAGGAACATAACTATCACAGTCTGATGCAAGAAACAGCTAAACAGCAGCTGGGGCCTTTTGCTTGCTGCTACAGTAATGATGCTGTGTCTTGAATTGATTCGTTTACTTACTTGGCAAATATAGCTGCTGAAATCAGCTTTGCGAAATCTAGCAGAGGAGAGAGAAGCTCAGCAAGAGAAACAAAGGAGAAAGCCTCCCTGGAAAATAAGGTTCCGGGGGAAGAAAACCCCCCAAACCTGCAGTTGCCAGGCAGTCTCTGACTCTTCCCTCTAGACACTAAACTTGAGCATATTTGCTGGAGGAATGTGGGCAGATTGTGGCTAGGATCCAAAAAGATGCAAGGTTCATTCTACATATGCCCTAGGACTGTTTGGCCTCTGACTACCCATTTTGATTATCTGTGTATATCCTCAAATACCACTCCTAAGTGCTGGGCAACTCTCTTGTATGGCATCTGGTGCAGAATGAAGGGTACAAGCGGACTGCAGAATGAAGGGTACAAGGAACTGATCTCTGCCATCTGAAGAACAGTTGTAATTCCGAGTGATCTCCAGCCCTCCCCTGGAGATTGGCAACAATGATTCCCCAGGAGGAATGGCTGGTTTGGAGGGTGGAGTCTATGGCATTGGCTAAACTATAACAAGGTCCTGTGCACCATTATTGAAGTTAATGCAAATCTGCATATTTTCCATATAAATTTGCATCCAAAGTTGGGCAAATTTTGATGCAAAGCATGCAAATTTATTCTGACAAAGTGGTTTGCAGGCAGGTGATGAGTTACTTCAACGTTATCTTAATCTGGAAGGTTTCAAGACCTGTGAGAAACGTTCCAAGGGAGAAGTCTGTTCTGTTCTTTCACATTCACCACGGCAAATGGG